GCAACTAAAAAAAGTTGAGAGAATTTCTCCCAAAGCCTCACATGTCTCCCCTATTTTTCCGACTCCGATGAGAATCAATCGTGACGATCGTCATTGATCGACGTCGATCGTCGCTCGCTGGCGACGGAGGAGGACAAGATGACAACTAATCTACATGTTTCTTCACGTTAAGTTTGGATCCGAACCCCGATTAACTCCAAAGTGGTTAGATTGACGTATATATACAAAGAAGTCTTCGGCTTTTACGGTTTCCAACGACCTTTCTCTTTTCTGATGACGAGCAAACGAAGATAACTATCTTCTCTCCCTTTCTCCTCCTTTCTTTTTCTGGTTGTATTTTTTCCATTTGTGTTTCCCTTTTTTTCGTTTCTTCTTTACTAATTTTTTTATCTGCTCCTTCTAATCCCTTTCTTTTTTCGAGTCTGGATCCCCCTCCATTTTTGGTTGATTGCATGTTATATAAAAAAAGTTGTGTGTGTTTTGGTGAGGGTTGACAGAGATGATGATGATTTCACAGTGGGGATTGGGAAATCCCAGATTTTTTGAGATTAGATCGTTTATTTTATTTTCTAGATTCGGTTTGGTGGATTTGGATTTTTTTCATGATTGTTTATTGTTTTCTTGATTTTTGTCGGTTGTTGGCTAGATCGGCGTGGTTAGAGCAAACAACAAAAGCGACGACGACAAGAATGGCTCTCCCCCGTGAGTGGCGGCGGAGCAGGTGACTAACTTTAAAATTAGGTTAGCCAAAGTTGATTTAGGTTGTGGGCCTGTTGTTGGGCTTTCTTGTAATGGACCGATTTAGGTGCTGTTGGGCCTGCTGGGCTTATATGTTGTATTCTGAAAAATAAGAATAATAAAATAAATATTAATAACGTTAATTTAATTTAAAAACACTCGGTGTCAACAGTAATTTCAAGAGGGTTTATGTTTGGTCTTCGCAACATGGTTTTTTTGTCTGTTAAAAGCATGGTTTTCAGAATCGGATCGGTTAACGAATCGGTCATACTATCGGTTCACTGGTTCAACCGTCGAATCAGTTTAATCGGTCGGAAGAACGGACGACGTTATAATTATTTAAAAAATTAAATAAAAATACCAAAAATATTTAATAAAAAATAATTTTTTATATTACAAGTCATATTCAAAGCAAGTCATAACATATATAAGTTAAAAATCATAAAATCAAGTGAAACAAAATGATTCAAATTAACTACAACATAATATTTAAGGTAAAACATATTAAATAATAAATATAATTATATAACTATAATTAAAAAATAAATTTGGGGTTAAAAAAATCATAACAAAATTATATATTCTTTCACTTCAATCAAGCTCGAATTTTAGGCTTCAATCGAGCTTTTAATTTTTTTTTTTGAGTTCAAGCCTTTTTGAGTTCAAGTTTCAATATTATATTTCGAGTTTGAGTTGAACTTGATAATTTTTAGCTTGTGAGTTTGAGTTGAGTTGAGTTGAGCTTACTTTTAAAGTTTTCAAGTTCGAGTCGAGCTTAGCAATACTCGAGTTCGATTTGGCTCGTTTAACAAACGATGTTGTTTGGTTTAACTTTTTTAAAAAAAAAACAAACAAACATCCCGGTTTTCAGTCGGTCCGGTTCGAACGGTTCAACGGTTCTGATCGGTTCACTAATAACGGTTCAACCGATTTAGATTAAATCGGACTAAACAATAATTTTTGGTTGAACCGACCGGTCCGGTCCGATTTTCAAAACAGAAGTTAAAAGAGTTTATTTAGCAAACATAAATAAAGCGATTGATAAAGATTATATTTTGTCAAATGTTCATTTCAAACAAAATATTTTTTTAAAGTCTAATAAGAATGATATTTACAGGAATTAATATATAATTTTATGTTATGGGGAGTAAACTTATAAAATTTAAAGAGGAGATAAATTTATCAAATTTTAAGGAGTGTGAAAATAGATTTTTAATAAAAATAAAAAATATATAAAAATTTAAAATTTTTAGAAGATAGACTATCGTCACCCGCTTAAACCCATCCCCATCATAGATTTTAATAACTTGGAGACTCTATCGAGACTTTCTTCTAAAAGTTTCGTATATTATTTAAAACTCGTTGTAACATAATTCCACTTGTAAAAGATATTCGAGATATATATGTTTTAAGTTGTTTTCATGAAAAGGATGTTAAAGCGAAAACGGATTGATATGGACAAAGTTCAGCATCATCATCCTTGACAATTGTTTTGCCTTTCGGCAAATATTTTTTTTGCATTAATAACTTTAAATTGAATATATACATTTTTGTAGGATAAAAGATAAATAATGCCAAACGAAAACCAACAGGGAATTTTATTAAATAAAGAAAATGTGAGGCAATTGATAATGTGTTGATGCTTGATTGAATTAAAATATAATTTTGGGTAAACTACGTATTTAATAGTTAAACTATCCATTTTGATCCGTTTTAGTAATTTAGCTCTCAATTTCTTTTAAAATCAATCCTAACGTTCTGTCTTTGTTTCATTTTAGTATCACGCCGTTAAAACTTAACGATTGAGCTGGTGTGACATTTTTTAATTTAATTTTATTCAACTAATAAGTGGTGACACATTAGTTATGCCGTTAAGTTTTTAATAATGGGTACTAAAATGAAATAAAAACTAAACGTCAGTATTTTTTTTAAAAATTGAAAATTTAAATATCAAAACATACCAAAATTAATAGTTTAGATATTAAATGAATATTTTACCATATAATTTTTAGTGTAAATCAAAGAGATTTTCTAATATATATATATATATAGATGTACTATATGTTTAAAAAAATTAATTCATTGTTAAAATATATCTTATGATGCATTATTCGAACTTTAAATTAAAAAAAATAACATTCCTTTTAATTTTAAAATTGATGTGTGCAAACCATATTATACATTTATATTAAACTTTGAAACTAACTTTCATTGGTTAGGATTCGTTTACCGAGAAAATAAGGGTTAATTAAAGAAAATTATTGATGGGTGAAGCATGTGTGTGTAAATTTAATGATTTTAAGGTAAACTTCACCTAAGGCCATTTAATTATGAGTTTGACAATAAATAGGTCCCGTTTTTTTAAAAATTATAAACGAGTCACTTAATTAAAATATTATTATAAACATATAATTTTGTCAATAAAATTGAAATGAGCGTCTAATGCACAGTGATAGGGAGGGATTGAAGGGAGTGGCTGGGGTAATCGTCCCTGTAAAATTTAAATTATCATATATTTTAGATTTTTATTCAATTTTCTATTAATAATCTATTTTCTCCCATTTGTGAAATTTAAAAGTTCGCCCCCTAACATAAGATCATGCTCGTCCATGTTGCCCAATATAATAACATTTTTAATTCAAAACTTATATATTCTATCAATTTTTCCTAGTTCAAAACATTTAACTAAATTTAATCATCGAATTCAAAATTTTCAACAATTTAGTTTTTTTATAATATTATCAAATCAAGTGAATCCATCGAATCAAAACAATAATCAGATAACTTTATTCTACCATAAAGTAACAACAAGTTAATGATAAATTATTATAACACTAAGGAAGTAATGTAACATTTGTGAGAGAAGAACAAAGATTAAAATAATATATTTTTAAATATAAAGGTTTAAATGTATTGAATTATTTCGTATTTAGACTAAATTAATAAATTGTATAAGTTTTAAAGACTAAATTGTTGTTATATCAGCCATGTTATTTAGGGCCTGTTTGTTTGGGGGAAACCAATTACGGAATTGGTTTTCCCTCAAAATCCCGTGTTTATTTCACGTAATTCGTTTTTCGGAAAATGTTTTCCGTGTTTGTTTTACGTAATTCGTTTTCCGAAAAATGTTTTCCAGTGTTTGGTTGGAGGAAAACTGGTTGGTCAACGTAAAACATTTTCGTGGTCAACAGAATTTCCTTTGTGTTTTCTGGAAAATGACTTACGGTCTGATTTTCTGTAAGTCATTTTCCGAACTTTTCACTTCAAAGCATAAATACTCAAAATAATTTTATTTTATGAATTTATTATTAATAAAATATTTTAATATCATTTTAATCAAAATATTAATTATTAAAATATTTAAAATATATTTATTAATATTTCTAATAATATTATATTATATTTTTAATATTATAATAAAATAATCAATTATATTATAATAATATAATATATTATTAATAAAATTTATATTATTTATTAATTTTATAGAAATAATATTATTAAATTATTAATAATGAATAATATTATTTATATATTTAATATTAATATAATAATCTAATAATATTTAAATAAATATATTTAAAATATACTAATTAATATTTTTAAAATATAATATAATACTATTACTTTAATAAATAATTAATATAATTTATATTATTTTTATTTCAATAAAATATACCAATATTAATATTTTTATTAATAAAATTCTAAAAATAATAATAAATAATAAATAATAAATAAATTATTTTAATATTTTAAAAATAATAATATTAAGTTTTATGATAAATAATATTATTTATTGCATTTAATATTTGTAATAAATATTTTTTTTAAACTCATCAATAGTGAGAAAAAAAAGTTTAAACATCTTCCAAACATCGTAAAATGTGTTCCAGAAATATAATTCATTTTTTCAGAATTCAAATTCTAATAATTCATTTTCCAGAATTCAATTTCCAGAAAATCAATTATAGTCAAACAAACAGACCCTTAATGACGAAGTGATTTGTTTGTAGTAATATTTTAATTAAATGACCTGTTTGTATTTAACTGCATTTACTATGTTGATTATGAATATTTTTCTACTTATATATCTCAAATTATAATTGTAGTTATATTTATATCCATTTCAAAACAAACAAAAAAATCTTAAAAGTATGGCCGGCACGATTGAATAATGGGAGTATCCTCTCAAATTACAAGTAAAAATATAAAAAGCTTCAAAGTATTATACGTCTCTCTCTCTCTCTCTCTCTCTCTCTTTCTCTCTCTTTCTCTCTCTATCTATGTATATATGTGTGTGTATATGTATATAACACAAGTAAAAATACTAAAGAAACATATCTGAATTCAGAATTAAGAGAAGGCAGATGAGTGGTTTGATGAAGCTTGTAATTGTTGTCTCGTGTTGTTTGTTCCTCGTAAGTTTAATTAAGTTCTTTTATGATTACTTATGGAAACCTCTACGTATACAGCGTATGATGAAATCACAGGGAATCAAAGGACCTCCTTACAGATTCATCCATGGCAACAACAAGCAAATTACCCAGATGAAGATGGAAGCTTCAACCAAACCTATGGGCTTGACTGATGATATATTTCCCATGCTGCAGCCACATCTTTACTCATGGCTACAGATGTATGGTAAGAGCATGGATACGTGCGTTTTCGGTTTTCGCTTGTGATTTCGTAAACTCGATTTGACTCGAAATTCTTTTGTAGAGATCGTTCATTTTGTTGTTTTTATGTGATTAGGGAGGAATTTTCTTTATTGGAACGGTGCTGAAGCTGAGCTTGTTATCTCAGAACCTGAACTGGTCAAAGAGGTGTTGATAAATAGTGGGAAAGCGTTTCTGAAAAGGAAGCCTACAGACTTGGGCAACAAGCTACTGGGGACTGGGCTTGTGATGGTCGAGGGCGAAAAATGGGTGAAGCAACGGAAGCTGGCGAATCGCGTTTTTCACGGCGAAAGCTTAAAGGTAACGTGTTGTATCACCGTATTCGTATGTGAAAAATGAAGAGTTTGAGCAACGTAGCTCGAGACTGATGGACTAATCTTGTGTTTTGTTGTGGCAGGACATGAATCAAGCAATGATTGCCGGCGTTGAAACAATGCTAGCAAGGTGGAAAGGGCAGGAAGGTAAAGAGATGGACGTGTACCAAGAGTTTAGATTATTGACATCAGAAGTGATATCAAGAACAGCTTTTGGTAGCAGTTACTTGGAAGGGGAGAAGATATTTAACATGTTGAGCAAGTTGTCGATAATTGTGATCCGAAATATTTTCGCCACCAGGATTCCGTTCATCAGGTATGTATATGTTGCTCAACCAATGCAAATTTTGTACTTCCGATCCGGACTGATTCAGTTTTCTCCTTGTCCATAGCTGACCTTGGTTTGCTTGTGCAGCAAGTTATGGAAATCTACTGATATGGTGGAGGCAGAAGAACTTGAAAAAGGAATACAAGTTCGTGTGATGGAGATTGTTAAGAAAAGAGAAGACAAGGTCGTGTCCGGAGAATCCGACTGCTTCGGGGACGATTTTCTAGGATTACTTGTAAAGGCTTATCATGATTCGGACAAGGGAAAAAGACTTCTATTGCAGGATTTGGTAGGCGAGTGCAAAACATTCTACCTTGCTGGACAAGAGACTGTAAATTCCTTGCTTGGATGGACTGTCTTGCTTTTATCAATCCATAGAGATTGGCAAGAGAAAGCAAGAAGAGAGGTTATTGAAATATTTGGTGACCAAAATCCACATCTTGAAGGCATTCCCAAACTCAAAACTGTAAGTAAAACTATTCAACCATTTGAGTTTACTTCTGCAATGTAATCTGACATGTTTCGATCCCGAAAACAGATGAGCATGATCATCAACGAAACTCTAAGATTGTACGGTCCATCGAGTGGTCTGCCGAGACAAGTCGGAAAAGAAGTTCAGTTGGGAAACCTAGTCTTACCCCCTAATATGAATGTATCGGTTCAGAATATTGCACTTCACCGTGACCCTCAACTGTGGGGAGCCGATGTGCATCTTTTTAAACCGCAGAGATTTGCGGATGGAGTCGCCAAAGCGACCAATTATAACGCGGCTGCATATTTTCCGTTCGGATTGGGACCTCGATCGTGTGTCGGAATGGCCTTTGCAAACACGGAAGCCAAGATTGCTCTATCAATGATTCTACAACGCTACACCATCACTCTCTCCCCTGCCTATGTACACAAACCAGTAATCCTTATCGGCCTTCAACCACAACATGGAATTCAAGTAATACTCGAGTCACTGCATAACTATGCTTAATATATATATATATATATCAAATTACATTGTGTAAAACTATTTTATAAATAAATATATATATATATATTTATATATATACTAAGAATATACCTTTGAGTAGTAATTTCCGGAAGATAATTATACCTCCCTCATGCTATCCCCAAGCTTTCATATTGTATCTGTTAGAAAATAAAGATAGCGTTAATCCTTGTTCCTCACAGCTTAACCGAAAAAGTAATGTATATTTTTATTCAAGCACACAATCAAACTACCGATATCCAAATCTTGATCAATCGAGACGACGAAAAATTTAACCTTGAGAAAATTAAACGATGAAAATAATTAAACGATCGATAAAAAAAAGAAAAAATATGTCACAAGACAGACAAAACATGCCATATAGATAGAAAAAAACATAAAATAAAGACAAAATTATTAGAAACTAAAAAAATAAGAGAAAATCAAATATGAGATATAAAAAAATTAAGGAAGATTAAATATCGATGACCGATGATTAAAGCTAAAATTATGTTATGATTAACTAACAAAGATTAAAAAAAACATTGCAAAGAGTAACTAGGGCAAAGAAATTCAAAACTTAGACATTTTATATATCACAACGAGTGAATTAAATTAAGGGTAAAGTATAGTAATGGTCACTCAACATTTCTGAAGCTTGCATTTAGGTCCCCAACTTTTAAAACTTGCAATACAATCCCCTAACATTTAATCCGTTTGCAATATGATCCATGCCGTTAAACCACGTTAGAAGAAGATGACATGGCAGTTAGATACATTTTGCAGGTATGAAAATTAGGGTAAATTTGCAGAATAACAGAAAACTATTGGAGAAATGACAGAATGAGGAACAAATCACTGAATGCGCAAGCCGAGAAAATTAATCCATCTTTTGTTTCGGACCAGCAACCTCCATTGTTTATCGTACATCTCGCAGGTCCAAAGGCTGTAAATGGATGATAAATGACAAGTGGAAATCGATGAATACATTGCCCATGTTCAATCTAATTTAAATAAGGGAAAAAAGCTGCACCTTCACAAGATATGGAACTATCTCCTCTATACTGCACGCCCTTCACAATGGGGCATTCGCATACTCTTCCCCTAAATGTGTCCTGAACAAATTCAACATCCCTTTTCATTAGTAGGATTTGTGGAGGTAAACTCTCGCATATTCGATTGCAACATCGAACCATGTAAACTTTCTATACTTTACCCTGTATGCTGTTATATTGGCTCGTTTATCATGCCAACATCCACCATTTCTTTCAAGGCACTCATTAGTTTCAACATCTATTAAAATAACATGAAGTCAATATTAAATAAGAGTGTAAACCGAATTTAGAATGTAAGCGGATCGAATCTACCTGCACTTAAACAAACGAAGGTTTCGTAGTCTCCTTAAATCCAACACAGATGGCCTTCAGCACTGCACTTCTATCCAGTTTCCCTTCATAGCAGGCAAAACAAGAACTTCAGCATCATTTATATAATTCAATAGGAATGTTACTGTCTCGTCCACCGACATGATATGTAACGAACCTCGATATTGAACATTATTGATAACCAATGTTGGCAAAATGCTAACGTCACCACGAGAACCTTGGCCAACCTAAGTGCCATAGATTGTAGCAAAATATGAAAGTTGACATTTGCATCTAGTTAAGATCATTAATCTTAAGATATTAAATTTGTTCTTAATATGGGCGAAGAAAAAGGTGTACCCGAAGTTTTTGCTCCTGTTTCAAGAATTCGTTTTCGACGTCAGCTTCGGGATCACCCATGCACTTTTTGATTTTCTCAATAGGCAAATCTGGTTAAGCATACGAACCCGATCAAGCGAGAACACTGGAAGATACACAAAAATCCAGAAGAAAAGAACACTTACCAAGAGAACTCATGACACTCAGCACACTCTTTGCTATTTCTCTTCACCTTCATCGAACACCTGATATGGAAATCTGTCACATAATCCCACCAAATCCAGGGCCTTTTGCTCTCATTGGCAACTCTGTGCACACAAAGTTGTCTCAAGTTCTCAAACACCACATCATTTCCTTGATAACCCTCTCTGAAATCATGTTCCGGATCGGGAGCACAGTATCTTCCATGGTTTATACACTGGGACTTGCACTGACTGCTAAAGATAAAGGGTTTAGGACAATACCAAGTTAGGTAATGTGGTGTGAACAAAGTGTAACCTCCCTTTTCAAGTATCTGGGCATGGCCTTTGAAATTCTTTATGAAATTCATCTGCTCGTCGCAACGATCTCCGTATTCATCTGCTAAAGATAAAGGGTTTAGGACAATACCGTTTGCAAACGGTATCTAACTGCCATGTCATCTTCTTCTAACGGTGGTTTAATGACGGGACCATATTGCAAACGGATTAAATGTTGGGGGGCTGTATTGTAAGTTTTAAAAGTTGGGACCTAAATACAAACTTCAAAAATATTCAGTGACCATTACTATACTTTACCTTTAAATTAATGAGTCGACACATTAATTAATTGAACTACTAATACAGTGCAATACTCAACTATCTTGAATAACACATGAGTAGGGATTTTTTTATAACTATCGGTATCTGATCTATTAATTGATTAATACAATGTTGTTCTGATTATTTGGGTAATGGTTTTTGATTGATATGTTTGTGTTTGTTCTCTTTTGATATTATTATATGTATTATGTTTTTTTAACTAGGATTAGGAAGATATTTAACCAGAATATAATAATGCTTCCTTACGCATGATTCTTTTATATGAATTCATATCATTTTGCAAAGAGAAAAACATCACACAACAAGTTTGAATTTTAATATTTTAAGAAATCATTACTATATGGGGTAAACTACATAAATAGTTGCTAACATTGTTTTGAAAACCGGATCGGACCGGCCGGTTTAACTGGAAACTGTTGCCTATCCCGGTTCAAACTAAACCGGTTGAACCGCTACTAGTGAACCGGCCAGAACGTTGAACCGTTCGAACCGGACTGGCTGAAAACCGGAAAAAAACCGGGAAAAACCGCCAATTTTGTTTTTTTTTTAAAAATTAAACCAAACGACGTCGTTTGTTAAACGAGCCAAGTCGAACTCGAGTATTGCTGAGTTCGACTCAAACTTTAAAAGTAAGTTCAACTCGACTCAAACTCACGAACTAAAAATTATCAAGTTCAACACGAACTCGAAATATAATATTGAAACTTGAACTCGAAAAGGCTTGAACTAAAAAAAAAATTAGAAGCTCGATTGAAGCCTAAAATTTGAGATTGATTGAAGTGAAAGAATAGTTCACTCTATGCTCACCAAAAGGCTCATGATTTTTAATGTCAAATTACTCTATTATTTATAGAAGTTAGTTGAGATGCTCTTCTATGTTTCTTAGCCATGTGGGATTGTTTTGTTCTCATATTTTTACTCTTTAGACTTTTGGGATGTTCTTCTATGTTTTTTAGCAATGTGAGATTATTTTTTTTTAAAATTAAACCAAATAATATCATTTTGTTATGATTTTTTTAGTCTCAAATTTATTTTTTTAATTATAGTTATATAATTATATTTATTATTTAATATGTTTTACCTTAAATATTATGTTATAGTTAATTTGAATCATTTTGTTTCACTTGATTTTATGGTTTTTAACTTATATATGTTATGACTTGCTTTGAATATGACTTGTGATATACAAAATTATTTTTTATTAAATATTTTTGGTATTTTTATTTAATTTTTTAAATAATTATGGCGTCGTCCGGTTCTTTCGACCGGTCGGACCGGTTCAACCGATTGAACCAGTGAACCGATAGTATAACCGGTCCGGTTCTGAAAACCATGGTTGCTAATGCTTGGATAATTTTTTTACTTTTCTCTTTGAAGTTTGATAAATAATTAATTAGTTATTAATGTTATCGATTTTTAACAAATCTATCACTCAACGTTAACCAAAGTGACAGAAAGTTGACGTGGCATACTAAACGTTGTTCTAACATCGTTTGACCGTTTGACCATTATTTTGATTGATGTTTTCCTTCCATCTCCCCTCACTCATTTAACTCTCAAAACCCATTATTTGTCTTTAATGAGGGCTAGTCACTACGTCATCCCACAGCTCTGCTTTTTGCTGCGACGTAAGAGCTGACTCACCATATAAAACGGAACTGCTTTGAAGCTTGAGAAACATAAAAAGATAGATGATTTCCAAATTTTAAGAACAGAATTTGGGGCTGAGAATCTGTTTCACTAAATGCTTTTTAAGTAATGGTTTGCTTCCAAAGTTATCTTAAATTTTTTGACGATAAGAACAGGACCGAGAGACATTTGCAGGAGAGATTTTGTGGTTCTGACTTTCCATAACAATTTTTTCCAAAGAGCCTAATTCCACTAATTTCATGCAGGATTCATATTATCTAAAGTTATCTCCAGCAACTAATTAATGATTATCATTGTCATTGCCATTAACAGCGAAAACAAGTAGGACTAAAAGTTAATTTGGAGTTTCATCAAGGAAAAAGCGAGAAATAACTTAATATAAACATATTATTTACATATGAACTTGAGGATGTGGCTGCAGTGCCTTTTCTATTTCGAAGTACTTATACTCTAATATAAACATATGGGATGTGAGATTATGAAGCATCTTCCTGTGTTGAACTCCTTCCGGAAGAGATGCTAATTCTGGGCAACTTAAATTGGTCTAACTCTTCAGTACCAAGAGATTATGAAGGCCCATCAGGTAGAGAAGCCAGATTAGAACAATAAGAATAGTTATTCCTCTTGGCCATACAGTCCTTGAGCGCATTACTCATTGATTCGCCTGCGTGAGCTTCGTCTATCTAAGCTTTGAAATAGCAGAGGAATCAAAGTAGGACACTCATTGATTTCCAGATTCTCCACGGAGATGAAATTTGTTAATCCTTGAGGCAAAGAGTCTAGATACTCACACCAACCAATTTTCAGTGGCTTCAAAGATGTGGTCGGCCCTCAATCGGATCGTGGCTTGAAGAGGGAAGATTAAAAAGAAATTGTGGGTTTTGAGGAGTTGAAATAATAGTCAAACGGTGTTAGGTCGGCGTTTAACGTGTCATACCGGTAATGACGGTTAATGTTGAGTTATTGATTAGTTATAAATTAATAACGTTAGTGATCGATTTTTTACTTTTAAAATTTGAGTGGAAGAAATAAAAATTTACTCAAACGTTACTGATTCTTTGTATAATTTATCATCATACAATAAATTATGGGTATTTTTTAGTGAAAGTGAATGGATGGAAAGGAGAACACGTATCCAATGATGCACGTACAAACATCAAATCGAGAGGTTATTAATAACTATTTCCAGCGTAAAGTACACTGCTTTTCAGCTCGTACTTCAAAATATATCGGTTCATGCATGCCCACATTTCTAGTTCTTTTCGTGTTGCTATTTACGCTACGCATGTGCATGGTTAGACTTTAGAGTTTCAATTTTCCGATAAAAAATAATTTCATCAATACATTTTATGTTCTATGGTCACTCAAATTTATTAAACGATTTTAATTATTAATTAAAATGTTTTTATATTTTAAAATTTTAAATTCAAATAATTAATCGATAAAACTTTCGTTATCAATCTTAAATTATTAAAAAAAAAGTTATACCACGATCCAATAATAGTTAAATGCTATTTGGTAAAAGTAGGAAAAAATATGCACCAAATATAACTTTTGATATTAAAAATTTAAGAATATAAAATCATAAAAATTTAAGAGGATCCCAACACCCTCACTCCATGCACCCCCGCACCTCAAATGAATGACTATTTACAGAGTTTAAATGTGGAAATTACAAACTCATACACTAAATGGTACTAATATATATATTAGTCTTATATTTAAATTTTAAGTGGTGATTTTTTAGTTTATTTTATAATTATATAAACGCATTCTAATTATTTTAAAATTTAATTAATATAACATTAAATAATAACACATACTCACTATTTTTTATGCATATAGAGCCGTTAGTTTTCTTCAAAGGAAAATATATTCTAAATTATAATAAAATTCGTAAACTAAAGACATAGTTAGAATACTTTTTTTATAACCAATAATATAAGATCAAGATCGTCCCGGAGCGTGGGAAAAAGAGGCATTCGCTCAGGACCTCTCTTTCCTGGGTCCAAAATTTTAAGTTCACGTAATTTTTTTAATTAATCATTTATCTATTTTTTTTATTTTGGTAATCCAATTATTATTTTCTCAAAATCATACTTAACATTACATTTTGTTTCTTTTTTTATTATCCACCATTAAAAAATAATGGTGAAATTGATTTTTTTTCACATAATTATTCTTTTTATTGACAAGATGAAGAAAGTTAAAAATCTAACATGTATCCTTTTATGTTTGTTTCGTGAGTAGTTGGGTGCTTAATAATTTTTTTTGATGTTTTCTATTTAAAATTTAATGTATTTATTAGATAGTTTATTAAACGTGATATAAAAACAATTTACAAGCAAATTTATTTAGTTTTTTCGTTCTTACAATTTGATTTTTCTGTACTTGTTATTAGAGACCTAATTTCTATTTTCGCCCCAACCCACTAAAATCTCATAGAAGAACCATACAAGAAAAATATTAAAATCTATCCGAAAAACTTGAACAAAAGATAGGTACAAAAAAGTTTGGTCGCATCGGCAAACAAACCATAATAGAAGATTAAACTATTGAAAGACCATCGACAATCGTAAATCAGAATCGAGTATTGTGAGAAAACCATTACGAACGCAAACCATGTATCCAAGTCCAATCCAATGATCCAAAGCATAGAAGATCAATAGAAAAATAAATAAACGATATCTTGATCAATCACAACGTCAAATCTAACGCTAAAAAATTAAACAAAAAACTCAACCAAATGACCTATAAAGAAAATAAAAACATACCAAAAAGCAAACATAATAGAAAAAAATATGACATAAAGACAGTTATTGAAAATTAAAAATACCAAAAAGAAAAAAAAGATACAATAAAATTTAGAGAAAAATAAAAAATAGAGATATTTAATCACCAACACTAAAACTAATGTTATCGTTTTTAAAAGCAAAGAAGAAAAAGAAGACGAGGGAAGAGAATATGGTTTTAAGGTTAACAAAATAAAAATTTTATTTCTTCAAAATCAAAGAAAATACCAACAATCAGTTGGTCTAGTGGGATGAGACACTAAGTCTCTTAAGCAAGGTTAGGAGTTCAAATCCTGACGTTTGCGAATAGAGCAAACTGGGTTGGGAGGGTCATTCTCGACTCTGCAATACCCGATCTAGATTAGTCGGTCAATAGATCGGATACCCGTGATTAATTAAAAAAAATACAAAATAAATTTTATAATAATATAGATGATACAAAATTAGAATCAATTAAAACACGATCCATCCACGTTAGTAAATCAACCAACGAAACATACGCTCAAACCCGTCACAACCGATCATACGCAGCACTAAAACCTAGACATAACCACAACTACGCGTATTTCCAACTCCCGACGGCTCGGCAACCGCCCACGTTCCTGCACCATCAACGCTACACACACACACACACATATATATATATATATACACACACATATTTATACAGCTTACACTTCTTACAAACTTCCCCTCTCACAATATAAAGATTTACAAAAAAGATGTTCATGGTTAGTGACCAGCAGATGCTGCAGTGTGATCCGACAGTGTCGGTGCTGCCAATGGAGAGAAAGTGGAAATCCAATGTTGAAATCGCTCCCAATTGTCCTCGCTGTGCCTCTCCCAACACCAAGTTCTGTTATTACAACAACTACAGTCTGTCTCAGCCCAGGTGCTTCTGCAAAGGTTGCAGAAGGTATTGGACCAAAGGCGGTTCCCTTCGGAACGTGCCGGTCGGCGGCGGATGTCGGAAGAGTCGACGAGGTAAGTCTAACAGGGAAAGGATCGAGAAGAAAGATCGAATTTCGATGAATCACAGTAAGAATTCATGTACTTCTCCTGATGGGGATCAACCGGATATCGATCTAGCCATTGTTTTCGCCAACTTCTTGAACCAGCCTGAGCCTAATGATTCATCAATGCAGTGCCAGAAACCAGTTGTTCATTCGGTTCCGGAGTCTTTTACCGATGAGATCGATGCGTTCGAGTTACGAAATTTGTTAGCAGCTGACGATCAAATGGCGTTGTTGGATGATTTGTGGACCAACCATGATGTTGCTGAAACGACGCCGGACTTTGAGTGGCAGCCGATGGTGCAAATGCTACAGTTTGAGTCCTTTCCGGTGGATGATCAACTGAAGGGTTCTTTTGATCTTTCTGGGTTTGGAGTTTATTCAAAACATTGAAGTTGAAGGAACTTTTCCAATTTTTTATAGTAATTCATACACTGTATTCCTTCCTTAATCTACTTGATTCACAACATGAACTAGCTAAGATTATGGAAATTCATTATTTGAAGAAATACATGAATAATACAATTTTCTTGAACTCGTTTAAAATTTACGATTCATGAGACAGAATTATAAATATTTATAAACTGATTCAATATTTCTTAGTATATTTTAATATAATTATTTTCAGATTCAAAATTATAATTTTAACATTTCTTAGTATATTTTTTAACTTATCACAATCATATATAAAATAATTATATATTTTTCTTTTAATATATTTAATTTTTTAAATAATAATATTAAAGTAGCCCTTAATTTACATCACATGCATGTGAAGTTATAGGAACAACACATGGAAGTAGAGGAGGAGATTAATGTGGATCTTAGGATGAAAAAGACAGGCCGAGGGGGGATTAATGTTGGTCGATTGTTAGGGTTGGGATCAGTCCACCTCAATGCATTAAAATCTTTGGAGTTGGAATTCATTTACCTTCCTGATGTTGACCATCACATGATGTTGCCGACTATATGTTAGAGTTAAAAAAAAACAAGAGAAAATTGGAGACAAGGAGTTCTAAACTAGTCTACTAAACCTCTAAGATGCCAGACTCTAATTTGACTCCAAAATATGTTATTTATAGGCTTGGTATCATCCCAAGGATTGAGGGTACGAATATGTCATTCAAAAGAGGTTATAGACCAAAGTTTTGGGCCATGGATTGTTGAATCAATTGTCAGTAGGTTATGTGTACGTTATCGATTGATTAAAAAAATTCTAAACATATATAGTACCCTATAATTATTCCAAACTATTAAAAAAATAGTTTAACTAATTATATATCTTATTATTCTTTAAACAAATATTACTTTGTAATGGTCGTTATAAATATTCATTACAAATTAGCCAATTAATTAATGTTTGACAGGTGGCCTAATTTTTTCTTAATTTAAAAAAAATAAATTTATATATTTTTTAAAAACATATATTTTCCTTTTTTTTACAAAACACTAAAAAATCATAAAACCTTGAATGACATATTCGTACCCTCAATCCTTCGCTAGAAAATAACCAATCAAAATCTTGAATCCCTTCCTCTTCTTCTCGTTCTGCTAATCTGAAGCCTGTTTACTCCTTTGTATCCCTTCGTCGCCCCATCTCCACCAACACCACTTTCATAACCATTGAGACCTATGTTCCTTTCACCTCTCACCGGTGCGAAGCCCCCTCACACTCTGTCGAGACCAATCCTAATGAACTGCTCACATTCTTCCAAGACATGATCTTGATGCATCAGATGGAGATCGTAGCCGACTAACTCCACAAGGCCAAACTCATTCAAGGTGTTCACCACTTGTACGATGGACAAGAAGCTGTCATCGATGACATGAAATTAGGGATATAAATTTTTGGATTTTTGTAATTTTAAAGAATTTAATTTTTTAAATTAATATTTTTAAGTGTTGTTAAATAAAAAATTTAAATAAATAAATGTGATACGTATCATATAACGATTTTTAACGATCATTACGATGTATGTACTTAAAAGAGTATTGTTGAAAAATGCTAAACACCTACTTTGAACGGAAAATTCTCTAAACACTTAAACTTGGTGCTTATATTAATTTATTCATTAATCTACTTTAAATTCACTAATAAATCATTATCTTAAGTAATGTAAGATCAATACTATTTAGTAGTGTTTGTAAACATTAAAATAAGCCGTCGTAAGAAATCGAGTCGATCAATTATCAATTAGTTTAACAAAATAATATGTTATATCTCTTTAATAATGTTTAAAATTTAAATTTTAATATTGTAGATGAAATAAATTAGATTATTAATCGTTTTATTACAGATTTTTACGATATCCGATCTAATAGTTATTCAATTATATTGTTAATAAGATTTATACCGAGTAATATCTTGGAACTTAATCCTAAGGAATTGGTAAGATCAATAGGTCATTTTAAATTTCTTAATTACTTTTTAATAGGGCTTTTCCATGTAATCAGGATGGAAGAAAAGGGTTGATAAGATAAGGGTATTTTATAAATTTATCATTAAACTTTACTCTCTCTCCTATTTTGCTTACTAAACTTTAAAGTTTTCAATTTTCTCACTGAATTTAATACATTAATTTTTTAGTCACTCCATCGTTAAATAGTTAGCGGCGTTAAAACAACGCTATTTTAAAAAACAAAATTTCCATCAAATGACGCCATTTTACATTTATATAAAAGCTCATTTATAACGCCGTTAGTGAGAAAACGATCGAGTGACCAAAACATCTAATGTATTAAATTTAGTGCGAAAATTGAAAATATTTAAAGTACAATAGTGAAATAGGAGAGAGAGTAAAGTTTACTTGCCAAATTTATAATTTACCCATAAGATAATTATTTTTTAAAAGATTTAAATTTCTCATATATTTTAAATTTTTTATATATTTTATTGATATTTTATTTTTTTCATCTAAAATTTATAAATATATTTTTTAAATAACTTTTTAATGTTACTCCTAAAATAAATTATTATATTTGACCTATAGATAACGTATCACACAATTTTATAAGAAAAGAAAGAAATTATTTATAAGTTGGCCGAAATCTAAACCCTGTTAACCCATCATTTCATCTAACTTAATAGCGCTTGTAGTAATCTAACAAGTAAAATCATGATTTGTTAGCTATTCGTTCACCCATCTTAGTTGCTTAGGTAGAAATCCAACCAAAAACGGAAAGATACACTACATTAAAACTGGTTTTTTGCGACATTTTTTTAACCTATAGCGACGTTTATAAGCGCCGCAAAAAATACATGCGGCGATATGACAAACGCCGCAAAAAGCGTCGCTGAAAATAGCACAGCTAAAGTTCGCAGCGTTTGGTAACAAAAAACGCCGCAATAGGTAACGATATATAGCGGCATTTTTCCAACAAACGCTACAATAGGTGTTTGTATTTAGCGATAAAAGTCGCAATAGGTGCGGAGGTTTAGCGGCGTTTTTTCCACAAACGCCGTAATAGTGTTAATATTTAGCGACGTTTTTCTCACAAACGCCGCAATATGTTGTGACATTTAGCGGCGGTTGTAAGACAAATGCCGTAATAGGTTGTGACATTTAACGGCATTTTTCTCACAAACGACGCAATAGGTGTTGAGATTTAACAACATTTTCCCACAAACGTCGTAAAATGCTTATGTATATAGTGGCATTTTCTTAAACGCCTCAAAAGGTTAAGATATTTTTGCGGCATTTTTAAATACAAACGCCACTAAAGGTATGGTATTTAGCGGCATTTTTAGGATAAAAACGCTGCAAAATGTATGGTATATAGCGGCTTTTTTGTTACAAACGCCGCTAAAGAACACATATTTTAAACAATTTAAATATTTTCTTCGATTACCCTAAATCTATTTTTTTCAACCTATTCCTTTATCCAACAAGCATGACATCAATAACATCAAACTCTATATCCATAACAAGCAACATCAAATCCAATATAATAAATAAAAGTTTTCATTAACGTAATATTAGTTCAGTTAAACATGGTTCAATAACATTAACATAAAGTACTCAACATAAATGACACTATGATGGTGGATTCTGAGGTTGCATTTTCTGTAACATCTGCATCATATCATTGAGTCGTTTTTCAAATTCTTCACATCTCTGCTGATATGTTACTTCTCTCTGTGCTACCGCTACTTCTCTCTGTGTTGCCAATGCTTCTCTCTCTGCTTCCCTTCCTTCATTTTCGGCTTTCATGTTAGCCATTTGTTGATCCATCTCATCAAACTTTTGTTTTAAACGACTAACTTCTAATTGGGAAGATTGAGACTGTGATGACATGTACTGTGATGAACTAGATCCAAAATATTTGGTGGGAGTAATGAATGATCCTTGACAGCGCACTCGACCATATCTTTCAGGACCTAAAACTTCATTAATAGCTTGGTTTTCAATGTCATCATCATTAACAAGACCTTGACTCGAAGCAGTAGCATGATACTCCGCCCTTTTCTCTCTCAATTTTTGTTAAAATAAAGTGAATAATTAATTCAAATAAAAAATGTCATGGTACAGATATAAATAAAGTCAGGTAAATTTAATCCGACTATCCAATAAACATACCACAATTTCTACAGCTTCAGCAATCATAAGAGTGTCATCCTTCTTTGTATGTGTCATGTCAAAGAGTTGGATTCGACCAACTTTAGAACCAGATGTATTTTCCTACAATGTAACATAATATAATTACTTTGAGTTAGTATGTACATGTAATACAAATAACTATGTGAATAATCTATAATACCTCCTCATTAGCTATACAAGCAAAGCTCTTCGATCCAGCCGTGTGCATAAACTTTTGTTTTGCCTGCTAGCAACACCAACATACTCTCGGTCATACAATGTCAAACAACCACTTTAATGATGATTTATAATTCGTTAAAATTATTTTTGAAAAGTACATCATACCTGTCCTTTTTGTGAACTCCAAAATCTGACTGCATCTTCCCTTGGTACCTGAGCATTCCAGGTGGGACTGTTTGTAGCTTCTCTTCAAGGCTGAGATCATTCTTGAAGTATTTCTTCTTTAATGAGCTCTTGTGGTTTCTCCATCTTCCCTAACGCTTGCTTCACAAAATCGTCAGAGACTTCTAATGAAAATCTCTCTATACAACAAATAAGTGTGCAACGTAAGTATAAATTAGTATTGAATTGTTATAGATTATTTATTATAATGACATTATTACATTAACAAAATCTAATGCCTGATTTTTGTTACTATTAGGTGTTTCGCGCCACGACTCATAATTGATCGGTAACATATTCGCATTACGTCCAATTATGCCTAAGTAACCAGATAAAGATATGCTTCTGGGCCAATAGGTTGACCGGCATCGTTTCTTGAAACTTTGACATGGTGCCCAGGAGGAAGTTGGTATAATTCCTTCAACGTTGTACGTCCTCTAATCTTGCGCGTTCAAACATTTTCAACTATATAAGAAATTATTAAATGTAAGTTTTGAAAATAAACAAACTAATAAATAAAGTTTCAAAGATTACCTTGAATTTCTACA